CACGAGGGTCACCGACTTCAACATCTGCCAAGCGATACGCGACCGGACTGAAAAAAAGACGCTCGGAATGTTCTAATTAAGTCGGAGTGCGTACCACCCTCATTTCGCGAATTTCTCCCGTTTCTTTACGTTTGAAATCTTACAGAATACAATAGCGTAGAACTATGATATTTATCTTTTCAATTAAGAGTGCCACGAAATTGGAGGTTTGTTTTATTTCGTTGAGCTATGTAAAACTGACTTCACTAGGGTAATTGTTACGAATGTTTTAGTTGTAATATAACATATTGCACGAGTTTTCCAGCGTGAAAATTTTTGAAATTGTGAAACATTGTTCCTCGGCGTCCGGTTCTTATATTAACAGCCCCTTCATGTTTGAAAAAAAAATCTATATCTTCAATAACGCGCGATTTACTAGTATTACGATATAATGCATTGTTGCAGGTTTTTAAATCGATTTGCGAAAAATGGAAACGCGAGGTATCCGTTTGAACGAGTAATTAGCAGTTTTGCTATAAAATCGCAATAGTTAATTGAGAGATATTCGACGAAAAATATTTTTCGCGTAAACAATGAAGCATCACTAACGGGGAAATATGTATTCGGGCGAATGAACGAAGATAAAATCCGACCCCGAAACGTTTGAAAAACGTAAATATCGAGGGCGGAGATGGATCAGCAAAACAACTACCGCGTGTCGACTCTAATATTTACCGCATCGTGGTGCAGTAGCTGCAAGTCGCGGTATAGAATGTAACTAAATGCAGGACGTCCGTTTTACGGACGTTAGTTCGTTGAATGTTAGTTGGTGGAACATCGTATCGGAGCCTTGCCCAAACACTCGGCCCGCGTCGGCAGATGTTTAGCTTACCGTATACACTGTTTACGTAGCTTAATCGAAAAATCATAAGTGCGGGCGGTACCAGTAGACGTATGACTATTATACAACAGTGTTCGCCACTCGTGGAAGCGGAAACGCAGCCGCGAGCGAAGTACAACATCGACCTCCAGACCCTATTTATTTCTGAATATTTTAATAGCATTTTTCATACTAGAAAGAATACGTTGCGTTTACCGTCTACATGTTATTTCGTCGAAAAATTGAACGCGAAACTCGTGCCGAGAGAAATTTTTTACTTTATTCCTAACAGCAATAAATGGAATCGTTAAGTGGCAAATTTGCGATTTTTCGATTACCTATTCAGTTGTTCAACAATGTTTCCTGTAAACCAAAGCTTTCTTGAAATCTTTCTTTTTAAATCAAACGAAACAGAAGACATTCACAGATTAACATCTGACGACTTCGCGAATTGGAAAAAGTATTACATCGCAGAAGGGATATGCTTTGTTAGAGTCTCAAAAATCTGTTTCGGCGTAAACCAAAATGTTCAGTCAACTTTAGGTATTTTTTCGTCCGTATGCATACTAAAGAGTTCTTTCTCTGTATTGCGGTTGGAGCACTTATAATGTTTCCAGAGTGTACTTGAAAAGGACCCGGTAAAGGGCTCGAGACGTCGCGACTAAAATAAACATAATTTCTGCCAGTTTGGTCGATTTAAAAAAACATTCCCCTTGGTTGATTACCACTGGCGACGAAAGCTATTAAAATTCTTAAAAATCTATTAGAATGCTCTTTGTCTTCGTTACAATGTGCACCCTATTACTGATTTTAATTAATGATAAATTTTGCATGATGTTATCAGCGAACACTATTCTATAATAACATATTTCGTGATGCGTTATTATAGGAAGTTCTGCTAACGTGGTGCAGGATAATTGCGAATTTGACACGATATCAAGATAATTTAATTCTACGTGTAACATCGAATGTATGCGCGCGTCGATGTACGCGCTGCTAGAATCTTCTGTAAGCGTGTTAGATCATATACATCGTAGTTTAGAACCGTCCCCGGAGATTCATTCCAACTACTGATAGCGTGGTACGGCTGGTAGTGACACCAATCAATGTATACTCATGTATAACACGAGAACGTTTAGCCATCCGCAGGCTACGGATTTAGATAGGGTTAACTATGAAGAGGGAAATCTAGTTGCTTGGGTCCCTAATTATCCCAAGATCGGCTCGCTGCGGGTGAACAGGTATAAACAGTGATTCTCAGTTAGACAGCGATCAAAGTGAGCCATCTATACCCGGGACGAAATGCCTCTCCCGCAGTTAACGATTTTACGCGGACGTTTATTATAGCTCGACGACGCAAATTGATACGGAAAGTGTTGAACGTGTATTTTAAAATGTTGATAACGGCGCAACATGAAAATATTTTCCCGGCGAAATCACTTTTATCACGTAAATGTATAAAATTTTCATAGAACGGTATAATAATGCGGTTTTAATAAAAATGTTGTTAAACGTTAATAGTTTAAATTTAAAAGAATGCTGAATACAAACGACGTTATTTCCGTCGAGTTATTTCTATTCACCATCCGTCCCTCCGATCTTTCCGCTCGACTATTCGTAGCTTTACTTTGTACATTATCAATCACGTCACTTTCATGCAAGCGTATTGACTGTAGTCATTAATCTCATTTCAGGCGCTCGCTACCATCGATCGCAAGTAGCGATATCATGCGTTCCCGATAGTTTAAACGTGAAAATATAGAAGCCGGAGCAACTCGGCGCAACTTTCTTCGACGCGACTTGCGCTTACTCTTATTTATTAGTTGAAATAACGCGCACCGGTGTTTACGTATCCGAGTCTCGATATTTTTGGACGCTGCGCGATATTATAAAGGTTACCCGCGAGAAATATAAAACGCGGCTTATCTGCGCGACGCATCTGCAATATGTATTCCGCGGAAATTATATCGGCATCGACCCGGCGGTTTCAGCAGATTTCGAAGCACGCACGTGCGCCCGAGCGACAAAGTGCCACTGTATAACCCACGAGTACCGTCCGGCGAATAAAAAAAAAAGAAAACGCGCTAATGTTTAACATCAATATCGCGCGCACAGTTTAACGCGAGGCGCGGTATGACGACGCTCGATTTGAAGCTGTAAATTCAATTTGCAGGCGAGACACGCGCGCGCATATTCTTTGAGATACGAGCGGTTCGTGCTCACAAGACATAATGAATTTCGTGGCCCGTGCCAACATTAGGCACCCATAATCCCGCGTAAAAAGACGTCGTCGGCCCGGCAGCACCTCGTGTTCCGAGTCGACGGTATTTTCATAATAGGAACCTTCGTACAACGCCGCGTCCCAACAGCAACTTACCGCCGCCGATGTATTTGGGGGATTTAATTATTCCCGCTATCTCCGTCGCGTCCGCCCGCGGCATATTAATCGTATGCTAATCGAAGGTCATTAATGTGTCTACGTTGAACATCGGCACGGATTTATTAAAATGGCGATTTGGAAATTGACCGTTTGGAAGAAAGTGCCGAAGGGACGAGGTCAGACGCGACGTATTTTTGTAACGTGATTAAATGGATTTTAAACCGTTAATACGCGGACATGCGGATCATACGGCAAAATTGATATTACATTTATTAAACGTTTACTCGGGTTTTATTATATTGCCATTAATATTGATCGCGATATTGTAATATTTCAACGAGGGTATACAATACGGAAAAAAGCAAATGGGGTTTCTCGCAAATTGTGCAATATTGCGTCGGTAAATAAAGATTTTCTAAAGAGTTAATACATCATTTCAATAAATGTCGGCGCTTTTATTTGAATTGCGTAGATTGCGTAAAGCTGAAACAAAGCACGTCCATTCCGGTGACTCTTGACAATATCGCTTACCCGAAAAATCGAGATATTTCCCGTCGAATCAATATACCGACACATTATTGCGCGCAATATGCGGATACGCGCGATACCGTAATATTCGAGACAGTGTTATTGGTAAAAAGCGAGCACCGCAATATCTCCAAGAATTCCCCGAGAAAACGTAAGACATTCTTTATGCCTCCTCCTATTGCCGGCTGTAATGTATATTATTGCGCTGTCTCCGTTTTTATTGCGTTACCTTCTGCCCCGCTGGCAGCAAGAGCGCGCAGTTGTTAAACGGTCGTTACTTCGGCATCTCGATTCGATAAAAATATGCAAATATCGCGACATTCGAGACGGCTCCGCCGTTAAATTTTTCGCGGCGCTCGCCTTTCGTTGAATCTGGCTCACTTTAAATACACACAGATACGCGAGCGAGAAGCTTATCGTGCCACGGGCAGCAACCGGCGTTCATTATACCGGCGGTAGCTTTGCAAAAAAGGACGACGTGGATTGTTTCTCGAAAGGAACGGCCCGCGAATAACGAGGTGAACGTTGAAGCGAACCTGCACGGGCGAGCCGATTTTCATCGCCGCGTCCGATAGTTTGATCAATTGTCTGATCGGCGATACTTGGAGGTAGTCTCTCTCTCTCGAACGAACGAACGAACGAATCGCGATTTCTCGTTGATTTATTGGTAAAACGAAAATATTTGTTGCAGCTGCATACGTATCCGTCATATGTATCGAGCGCGGAAAACGCGAATGCTGACAAGCGTCAATTACACGTAGCTGCGACACGTGCACCCTGTCATGTGCGAGCGTGCTTTACAACCCGAAGAAATATCTCGCGATTTACGCGACTGATTCCCACCCTTTTCGTGCGTCCAGCTAATTCCTCGACGGTTAAGCAAGAAGCTACTTTTCGCACCTGAAATTTTTCAGCGAGGCGCTAATTCGGCCGGCGGTTGAAATCGTTAACGAGTTCTCCAGGAACTAAATAACTGTAGTTACGCGAGTCAGACCTTCGGTTAACTTTGCTACGCGATTACCGGCGCTTCAACTGTATAATGTAATTGCAACTAAGATACAGTTTAGATACTGTGTTCCTTCACGAAATAGTGTTTTTAAATGTTGCTTCTTCCTATTTGTATAGCGCGTATTTAAACGCAATCGTTATAATGGGGATGTTTTCTCCCTCGCTCTCCGAGCAATATACATATATATATGTTGCGCACTTGTTGCGAAATCGGTATTCAACTACTCACAGTTTTTCGGCGATGAGCAGGGTGGCCAGGTCACCAGGGATCTGCGTGAGCTCGCGATGAGAGCAGTCGACCTCCTGTCCGCCACACGTGCACGCCCAAGGACATCTAACGCCGTTCAAATCGTCCATCGTGCCCGTCATGCTGCCGAGGCCGAAGCTACCGAGGCCGATACCGGTACCGGGCGAGGCACCACCACCAAGCACGGATAATATCAGCAAAAGTCCCCAGGCGCAGAGCACGGAACCGCAGCTGACGCCGAGCAGGCGCAGCGACCAAGCGGGCGTCATGGCACGCGCCATCGCCAGGACCTTGCGATTGATGTCCTTCACGGCGCGATTCGGCCCGTCGAGGAGTCTGGCGATGCTGCCGACGCGACTCTTGGGCAGAATATTGTCCGGGTTGTGCAGATCGAAGCAGTGCGGCTCACCGCCGGCGAACTGGCTTACGCCGATGCCCGTGTAAACGTAACTCGGCCCGGCCGGCTCCAGATAGGTGGATATCTCCTGGCCCTCCGCGGGAGGACAGCCGAGAATCCGAACCGGTCGGAGTATCGGATCCTGCTCCAACCGTACGATGACGTTCTCCGGATCGTGGAACCTCAGATGCCGATGTTCCGGTCTCTCCGTCGACTTTCCTCTCGAGCAGCCCCGCCGGCGATCATGAACGCGGCAGGGTCGGCTTCGGTTCACGCCTCTTCGACAGGGCGGCTCCGTATGGGCTCGCGCTACGTGACAAGACACTCTGTGCCGATGCACCGCGCAGCTTCTCCTCGCCGGTTGCTCGTCGTCGTCGTCGTTGTCGTTGTCGCGGTCCAACGTCTCCCTCGAACGCTTTGAGCGCGCGTCGCCGGTCGATTGTAGCTCCAAGGCTGCGCCGTTGAATCCCTCCGGATGATGTTTGTAATGTATTGAGATCGGAACGTGATCGTTGATTGCCGACACTATGGGGCTTTGTGGCCGCTTGATCTTGCTTCCGGTCCTTTCATCAAGTTGTATGCGTTCACCGGTGGATCCCAGCCCGGTGTCCACTGCGGCCAGGTCTGAACCGACGACAGTACCAGACTCCCGCGTCTCGATCGATCGGACGTGCTCGCCCTCTTGCCGGCTAGGTCTCGATGGTTCCTCGTAGGCTAGACCATCCAGCGGGCCCTTTTGGGGGCCGTTTCCGTGGCCCCCTTCCTCGCCGCTCGCTGGTCCCTCCAACGAGTTGTTATCCACTACTAACGACACCACCCGTTCCCGCGCATCCTTGGGTACAGCTCCCACTGACTTTATCTTGATGCTGGTCTTCGGCCAAGGCTTTACCGTACCCAAACGGGTACGTGACTCGTGCCGCGAAACGATTTTCTACCGATGCTTGGCGGTGTGTCGACAACCATTTACTATTTCGAATAGTACCGCTGATATTGCGCGTCAGATCGATTTCAGTCCAATGTGCTTTCACCAACGACTGGTTGGCCGATAAATACGCGATGGAGTTATGCGCTGGCCGGGACAAGTGCGCCAATAGACCGCCAGCTCGCGGATATAGGGTAATCGCTGCGGTTGCAATTATTATTTCTACACGGGCATTATTAACGTTCAAGATTTCTTCGGATATGTCGTCGAAACGGCCAACAAGTTGGTACGGGGAAGAGGCATCACCTGTAACAAAAAATATATCATGAATCTACAGAAAGGAAAGTTCACAATTCTAACGTCAAGTTTGTTTCACCGTATCTGGCAATTTTTATGTTCAAGACTACGTTTCGACCATGGGATTTGGTCCTCTTCAAGCGAACTAATTGCGAAGGTCATGTACATAGATTTACATATATCTCGGTGATCTAAAGATTGTATTTGTGGTCACAAAAATGCTGTAAATGTTCGGTGTCATGGTTTGATAAACGAGAACATCGTTCGAGAGAAGACGGTGCATGACTGAACTACATTTACAATCGTAGTTTGGCAATCCTTTATAAATTAAAGGATATCTATGTAATTATCGATATTAATAACAATTTCTCGCGATATTCACCTTTGTATTTTCTACATGAGCTGTATGACTTATATAAGTGACCGGCTACGATATCATTAGGCTTTACGCAGGTGGGCGGGTTCGCTAGGCACGGATACAAGCGTAATATGCAAATGAAGTAAGTGAATGTCTCGCGTTCAGTCGTGATAAATAAACGGGGAATAGCGGAAACTGATACAGATACGAAACGGCGAAAAAGGTGTCCTTTGTGGGCGCACATGGTGCACCTCGCGCAGACCGAAGAAAGCGGAGATTCGAGCGGCGCTCGCAGTTATAAAGCGAGGAAACTCGCCGGTGCAATATCGGAAGTACGAGAAAAATATGCTACCGAAGCACAATCAAGGGGCTCAGATGCATTCCATGCACGGCCGCCAGAATTTCGAGGCATATTGGAATTTTTCTCTGACATTTCCCGAGGTTCTTGTGCTTTCCTTCTCGGCCCCACCGCCCCCCTCTTCCGGCCGTCCGACCGCACGCGGTTCCTATGCACGAAGAAACGTGCCTCGAACACGCTTACGTCCCGTACACATGTTTCTACCGCGTAAGTACCTCCCTAGTGCGTTCCTGCGATTCATCTCTACCTGCGGACACCTGAAAATAGAATACCAGCCGGCATCCCGCGCGGGAGAGAGAGAGAAACGCTCCGATGGTGTCGGTATGAAGCTCTTAAAATTAGATCTCGGACATGCAGATGAAAGAAATCACTCGCTTGTAATAAATGTCTATTAGATAAACACGACGGGAGACGGAATTATGACCGAAAGGCTACAATAAAGCGAGTTTGCAACTTTAGAACCGAGTAAATTTAGAATAACTTTGCAAATAGTATAAATGGCTATGAACTCTTTGTAAATATATTCTTGAGTAACACAATAAAAGTCTATGAATCTCGCTTGATTTAAATATGCAGATATGTCTGTAACGTTGTAACGATGTTTGTCAACGTTAACAGCACTAACGTAAAATAATGAAAATGTGAAAAAATAGAATGTAGATCATAGTCGACACGACGTTTCTACGCTACAAGTGTATTTCAGTACCCAAGGGGGGTAACTACTAGATAAAATGTTGTCTCACTTCACAATTTCATTTGATTTCATACCATTCCATCTGATTACAAATAGTCTCGTCTATTTTGAAGGAATAAAGGACCAAGAGCCGTGACGGGGTGTTAATGTCTGAATATTTCATACTTTGAATTTATTGCGAAAAATATTACCTCAGCCAGGGTCTAAACCTGGACCTCCGTCTCGCTAGGCGGGCGTCTCAACCAATTCGACCACCGAGGCATATGTTAATTCTCGAATGCCACCTATCGTGACAGTATTGGAAAGAACGAGAACTGCTTGAAAATGAAGACGAAACGATTACACGGGGATTTCGTAAGGGTTTCATAATGATTTCGGTGACACAGTCCCACGATTACACCAAGTGGTTACCCCCTTGCCAGTGCTTGTTAATACGACGACGTTCTTCGGCGAAAAAGGAAAAGAAGTCTGCCACTGGCCCTCATTGTACATTAAAATTCGCGGAAAATCTAATATTCGCTTGGAGAACGCGGACAGGGATCGATAATTCGATTAACAGTAGTCGCTACCGTCTACGATGGATGCCCTCACCGCCCAGTCTCGCTCCTCTCCTCTCAATCATCCAACGTCGAGTACGGCTAAAGTAGCTGGCCTCGATAGGGTGTGTACACTACGCACGTATAATATTCTCGAGCACTTTCCTACAGATAATATCGCCCCAGAAGCCTCTGATGTCGAAGTTAAGGTGGCAGGGGTGGCGCCAACCCGGTTTGAATGCGACACGAGCAGCGCGACCGCCCTTGATGGATAGACAGACGCAAAAGAGAAGAGAATTCCTTGTCCCTCCGACTCACGTCCCCGCCGGCCGTGCCCGTCGCGGCTGTGCCGCGTTAATTAATGCCGTTAGCGCGTATTAATTGAAGCAAAGTAGCGCGCCGATAAATGGGGACCAGCTGGTTGAAATCTTTTTCTTGCGCCTCGCCGTACATATGCGCCCTTCGATGACTCGGAGATCGGAAAAGGTTCGAGGCGACGCCAACGAGCGAGACGGCGAAAAATCACTTTACGCCCTGTACTTTATGGAAATTTAATTTATTCGCGCTGCACGACGATTGATAACTAACAATATTATGCTCATGAACGCGCAGCTGCGATATATTGCAGCAGAGACTCTACCTCCGTTTTGCTTTCTAAAGTAAGCGCATGACTAGGTCTGTCAACGAGCCCGAATGTCCAGCATGATTGTACTTCAAATGTTGTACTTGTAAATTGAGCGCTTGTGACTCGCAAGTAACACGATTTAAAACGCGATTAGTCACGCGGGATACACCCGGGAGTGAGACGCTAAAGTACAGTTGTCGAACGGCCGCGCCGTCTGTTTGCGAAACGCATTAAAGCTTCTAAAAATCGAAGACATACGTTAGCCGAACGCGTATGTCCCTCGCGTGCAAAGGGAGGGGGATCAATATTGACAAAAGTTCGGGACCGCCGCGACCCTTCGGAACGTCTGCTCTTGGGATAGGTACGTCGCGATGTAAAACGAGAAAATAAGGTACGAAGCATATGCTACATCCTGCAAAGAAATTCAACGGACAAACATAATAATCCTATGGATAGTGTATACAATGTTATCCTCGCAAACAATTCTTCAAACAGCGAGCGTTATATCTCATGAACGATTAAGTTGATATTTAGAGCTACAACAAACTCATGCGCTTGATATAATCACGTGCGCCGCATATTACTTTCTTTCCCTTGTCTAGGATACAATAATTAGCATACAAGTATAAAATCTATCGCTTGTGCGAGCATTAAATTTGCATTAGCTCTGATAATGCGAATTATAAACTGCAGAATGTAAAGTTGTACATAAATTAATAATTTACTTGTTGGATAATATAATATCGACTAATTAAAAGTACATTGATTGCCTTTTTATGATGACGTATATGTGTTACATCTCCTTAATCTGATATTAATTAAAAATCTTTTACCTATGAAACAACGATGTGCAATGTAAAGGTTGAATTAAAGAAACTTGCGCATTTAAACATCCCATACCTGGAAAGGTTTATTTTGTTCAAAGTGAGATTGTACTTATTTACCGTTCGAAACAGACCCGTTCTTATTTCCAGAACCTATGAAGTCTGTAGGCAAAAGTGCACCCAATTTCCATTGAAATCGAAATATCGTGCAGCACGATTGTATCGAAGACTCACGTTTGTTCGGCAAGTATTTTCCGTTCCGTTCGAGGGAAAGAAACGCGAACGAACATTTTTTAACACGACGTGTACGCTCGCGTTGTCTGCGATACTTCGTATCGTCGGTTTTACGAGATCTCGTGTGGAAGTAGGGACGATATTACTTTGCCGCTTAGACATGACGAATGTATGATACGTACACGTCCATGGGAGTAGCAGCAAATCCCTTTGAGAAGAAAAAGGGGCCGAGCAAACCAGAAACGATTCAGGAAGAGCCAATACAACTGACTCCGGAATATTACGTTTCTATTGAAATATATTTGTAAGCCACTTCGGAAGACAATTTTGTCTGTAGGATATGGATGTAGACAGGTGGATAGAGATATTCCTGCAGGGTGGATCGTTATAGCGCGCGGAGGGAAGCGACTATGGTGCCGGTAGCTATATAAAAGAAAGAGGGAGGAGGGCTCGTTTATCCTGGCTATAGACCTGTTCACGGCTAGGATTGCTTTCTCCACGGATATTCTACGTAAGACTCTAATCAAAAGTTGATATCTAGCGAAATTATGCGCCGCGGCATTTTTAATTATATCCCATTATTATGTTTTACAGTCGCAGCTTGCGTTATTATATATTCCTGTCTCCGGTAGCGAAAGTTACATCCCACTTTCTAATATTTATTTCAAGAAAAACAAATATTTGAGCTTCCTCTTCAAATACACCGATACTTATCCAGGCGGGAATCGATATTTCACGCAGGCCAACGTGTCATCACTAATTCTTGACACTTGCTGAGCAAATATTTGAAATCCTTCTGTCTGTTTTTTACCACTCCTTGTTTCCAACAAGTTCATAAAGACTTTGGCTACTCGGTAACATAACGGTGACATTATCGTGAATGGCGCATACATACATCTTCACTTTTCTCAATATTTCCGCGTTTTATCTCTCGCGAGTTTCTCCGGTAAGCGGATCTGTGCCCTACGAACTGGAGAAATTCGACGACTTTTCATGAAAAACCTCCGGGACGTAGTTTGCTTTGGAACAGGAGATGTTTGGCTAACATGTGTGCCTAATGGCCCGTGCAAAATGGATTTTTAAGGTCTTTCTTTTAAGATGCGCGCACGAATATCCATCGGAAAAAGAATGTCGCGGCGCGTCGTGCGATCGATCGAACACCGATGCTTGCTTATTTATAACAGTGACCGGAACTGTGACACCGTGCTGACAACATGAAAAAATAATCAAACGGCAACATCGACAGTAACGACATATTCCTGCAAAATTGATTAGATATTTGAAAACTTGGACAAGTTCTCGCACAGCGTTGTGACATAATATCAGATCACGAGCAACGCTGACGCGATCAGGGAATAAAGAGCTAGAAGTTGTATTAAAAAATCTGGAGACAATTGTATATACCACACGTTTGCTTTGACACTGCTCACAGGTATTGCTAGCGAGAAATGTAGACGCTCGAGGACTACGCACGCGTGAGGTAACGCTCGTATGCCCTCTTAAAGCTTTTACAGATCACAGTAAAGAGAGTGAGAAGGGAGGACCCTCGGATATATTAGGTTTCCCAGTGCGGTTTTCAACCACCCACTCGATCGGTTGATCGGTCGACTTTACCCCGGGGAAATCACACTAGATACGAATTGGAAGCTACCCCACCCCGCCCTGCTTGAGACCACCCCTTCCTCCTTTTACCTCCCGACGTGCTTAAGAGGAGGTCCAAGAGTGCGGTGCGCTACACGGTCCTTGGCGACATGGAGACGGTGCTGTGTATTAATCGGGGAAGGATCTTCTTTCATTCCTCGTGGCATCCACTCCATGTCCCCCAGGACCGGAAGAGATGAGAAAGGATTACCGCAGAAGTAGTATTTCTCTCTACTGTATCGACACTTCAGTGATTGGCGGAAATCAATATCGATTTTTTTCTCTCCTAAAATCACGCGAAACTCCGCGAACCGTATCAAATCCAATGGGTGATTAATGTTAAAGTTGATAGCGTCGTTGACTCGATAAAAGTAACGTCATCGTCAGCACGGAGACATCATTTTCAACAATACAAAATTGTGACAGTGAAAAAGTTACGAATTGTTATGGAATAATTTCTTCTGTAAAACTATTATGGTCCGAATGTTCCGTCAGTTTTACATCAAAAGCTGCAAGTTACACAAAAAATTGCAAGAAATTATTACGCTTTATTATTTTACTTTCATCGTAGAGTAAATTTTTTCGTAATTTCTCGAAATTGCATTTGCTCTTTCAGGGAAACAAATAACGTTAACGAGTTAA